TGTATGAATTTTATTACTTATTCTTACCACACTTCTTCACCATTAGTGCTTTATATAGGTAAACAATAATTATAAAATAATCTAATGAACCGACATATATAAGTCGGTTTATACAATTATATATTATAATATTAATAGATATTTATCCATTTATAATAGTTTTACAATTGTTAGAGAATATCTTTTAGGAATATCTAAGATTAAGAGCCACGGTCTTCGCCGCCGCCACGGCCTCGATTGCTTTTTCGTGTTTTAATACATTCCATCTTTTGGAGTTTTTGTGTAGGTTTGATTGTCCTACCTTCTCGAGTCTTTTGAGAAGGATCAACCGTCTCAAACGTAAATTCCGAGTCTCAATCAGCATAATTGCTTTTGCAAACATTCTTTTCAACTTAATTAACCAATGGATTCGAAAGAGGGTTGAACTATGTTACATTAAAATAGGAGTTACTGGTTCTCCTATCTTCTGAGGAAACTCCTTATCTAATTTCACTTCTACCATTAGCTTAGCCTCACCCATTTGTGTCGGATCCAACCATGGTTTATTAGCGAGCATTGGTTCCCATAATCCTCGACGCTGACGAGAACTCGCAAGAAAACCAAAGTGGTCTACCAGTATAGTAGACCTTCTTTCATGGTCCCATTTTAGTCTTTTTATTTTAGTTTCTTTCTAAACACATTATGATTAAAGTTTTATAGCAAAAAAAAATTGTATTGGGTTTTTGTTGAACCTGTAAAATTTTGTATTGTGTTGAAAAACATAAGCTACTGAATTTTGCTTGATTACAATGGCTATAAGAAGCTCTTTAATTCATAGTTCAATATGGATCTTGATAATTCGCCCTAATTTTTTTTTTTTAATCGCCCTCTTTTTTTAATCCAGTTAACAAATTCAAACAGTTTTTACTCGATTCACCCTCATCTTAATCGACTAAATTGTCATATCATTATTTTTTTCGCTTCCCCATTTAATCATACCCAACATTGGAATAACACAAAAAGTATGTACAATGTAATCATCGAATCTATAAAATTAATTAACAGAAAAAAAACTTAAGAAAGGCATTCAGAATGAGTAGGAGGTATATATTCATCATGAATCAGATGACAATAAACAATCATCACCATGCCCTTTTCTTCTTTCTTCTACCAAATCACGAAAATCTTAAAACTTTGAAAATAAATCTGATAGATTGAAAACTAAAGTAAAAAAAAAAGGATTCCTCTCAGTCAAATGCCTCTAATTGTCCCCATGACTTAATGAATGGATTTTCGTCGGACTCGTCATCTATGTATAGTGTTCATCATAGAGAAACCCTTTTTTACTCGAACACACACAAAGAAAATACCAAATCGAAAGAAAGACGTGTGAGATCG